GAAGAATATACACCAATCGATCGTGTCAACTTACAAGATGAATCTCTCACTTCGTTGTTCTTTCTTCTTCTCTCTCTACACCGAGATACACCGAACATGATAAACTTACAAGAGAAATAAACTTAATTTCTCTTCTGTCACAAGCCACCAAGAAGAAGCCAAGGGAGAACAAGCTTCTTCTTCTTTCTTCTTCGTTCTGCTGCAAGGAACTACTATTTTCACTTCTCTTCCTCTATCCCGAGGAAGCCCGAAGAAGAACACCAAAAAGGCCATGTCTTAAATTAAATCTGTAGGAGAGACCGTGCGATGCCTTTCTTCTTCTTCCTTCTGCCGCGAGCCAGCCCGCCGAAGAAAAAAACTTGGAGAGCGATACTTCTCTCGCTCGAACCTCACGCACACCCTCAACCATCCATCTGTTCGCGACTTAAAGGAACAGGGCGACATGAAGGGAGGCGGCGTTTCGCGAACCAGGAGTCGGGAGCAATTCGTGAAACTGCAGGGTCGTGATCGCGACCTTTCGCAATCGGGAACAATGAGACGGGAGCGGGAAGCATGGGCGAGAGTAGTTTCCTATCGGGCTTCAGCTAACAAATCTCTCACTTTGAGACCGATACACTGGCTACAACGTCATCTTCCTCGAACTGATATCCTTTACTGACGCGTTACCCTTTTCTTCAAACATGAATCTTCCACCTCTGCGACTCAATGCCCTTTGTATTCACACCAGAAGACCAACTGAAGCTGCGCACAACTTCAATTTCTCAAAAGTAACATCCTTAGTCAACATATCAACAGGGTCCACATAGTCTTGCACCTTCATGCTATTTCATAGATTACTCTTGTCTCTGCTTACAACTCCCACTACATGGGCATTATCATGCCTCTGCTGAAAGTCTTTTTCAACAAGTCTAGCCTTATACATCTTACTGTCATCACGCTCAGTCTTCACCCGGTACACTCACTTATTGTGTAATGTCTTATTCCCTGGTGGATGTTCTGTCAGCTCTCACTTGCTCAAACTTTTATCTTGCAAGATTTTTTCATAGCTCTATGGTTCTCCACCATCTATCTGTAGAACAATAAAAATGGGTGTCACAGACTCACTCTCTTCTTTACTTTCATCATCAACAGAACTATGAAATGTCAGCAATAGTGCATCTTGTACTTCTTCAGATACCACATTTGCGCTATCATTCTCTATCTTTTTAGGATTTCTGCAGTTTCTCACAATTCCAGCAGATTGTCTGCTGACCAACTTTGATTTTAATCTCCCTCTATTTGAGTTTCTGTCTTGTGATCTCCCTCTGAAATCAACATTCAATGTCAAACTCTTACCTGAGATCTCGTCAGAATCTTTCATGTGCACTTCCTCATCCAAAATCAAATCACGAATATCATCACATTTCAGTTTAGATTTACCTGCAGAACTGCTAATTGTCATCATCATGACTTCCCAACTATTTGGCAATGATGCAAACAATATCAGCGCACGCATCTCATCATCAAAATCAATTTCAACAGATGACAATTGATTTGTGATAATATTGAAATCATTCAGATGTTGAGCAATAGAAACACATTCCGTCATCTTAAAGTTGAATAACGTATTCATCAAATACATTTTTTTATTCGTCGATGACTTTTCATACATACCTGATAAGGCTGTCATGAAATCTACAGTCGTCCTTTCCTTGACGACGTCGTGTGCAACGGACCTCGATAGGGTCAATCGAATAACCCCCAGAACTCATCTATCCAACAAATTTCATTAAGCCTCATCCATTATTTCAAGTCTTTTCCTTAATAACAGAAGATGAAGTTTCTTCACATAGAGGTAATCCTCTATCTGCATTCTCCAATAACTAAAATCCGTGTCATCAAACTTCTCAATCCCTGAAACATTCAGTTCATCTGTAGTCATCATCTTTCTGAAATCCGAATAAAGCTCTGATATCAGTTGTTGTGGTATGTAGAAAAATAGAAGAACGATCTTTGATGAAGCAAAAAAATAGAACGAGAAAATTCACACCATAAAACAGTAACACAGCGGAACACACAGATTTACGTGGTTTGACAAATTTTCTACGTTCATGGAGTTGCTGAGGATTTTACTACTTAAAGAATATACACCAGTCAATCGTCTCGACTTACAAGAGGAATCTCTCACTTTGTTGCTCTCTCTACTTCTCTCTCTGCACTAAGAAACACCAAAGAAGATAAACTTATAAGAGAAATAAATCAAATTTCTTTTTTGCCAGAAGCAACCAAGAATAAGCCAAGAAAGAACAATATTCTTCTTCTTCTTTCTTCTTCCTTCTGCCGCAAGGAACTACTGTTTGCACTTCTCTTCCTCTATCCCGAGTAAGCCCGAAGAAGAACACCAAAAAGGTCGTGTCGTAAACTAAATATGAATGAGAGACCATGCGATTTCTTTCATCTTATTCCTTCAGTCGCGAGTCAGCCTGCCGAAGAAGAAGTTTTGGAGAGTGATACTCCTCTCGCTCGAACCACACGCACACCCTCAACCATCCACCTGTTCGCGACTTAAAGGAACAGGGCGACGTGAAGGGAGGCGGCGTTTCGCGAACCAGGAGGCAGGAGCAGTTCATGAAACTGCAGGGTCGCGGTCACGACCTTTCGCGATCAAGAACAGAGAGGCGGGAGCGAGAAGCATAGGCGGGAGCGGTTTCCTATCGGGCTCCAGCTAACAAATTTATGCTTTAACTATACATCTTAGAATTCTATACAAACATTGGAATTAATTTTTACTCAAATGAATCTAAGATATAGATTTAATATTGGCGGGAGAATGAGCAACTTTTTATTAGTATAGATAAAAACAGATTTTGAAATTAAAAGATTAGGATTATAAATGGGCGAAATAATACGTCATTTTTTTAATATCAGCATAGAGCTAAGAAAATTTTAGACATAGTGTTTTCTCTTATATGAATCTTAGTCTTCATGGTTGCGTGGCCTCATTTACATAAAGAGCTTAGAGCTTGCATTAAGTTTCATGTTATGTAGAGAGCACTTTACTAATTTTATGTCATGCTTTTATTTCCTGCATTAGTACCTAATAGACATTAAGTTTCATGTTATGTAATAAGTTTCATGTTAAGTACCTAATAACTTGCATTAAGTTTCATGTTATGTAGAGAGCACTTTACTAATTTTATGCCATGCTTTTATTTCCTGCATTAGTACCTAATAGACATTACTCATTCTACCATTTGCTTACATAGATTTTACTCTTTATGGTTGCGTGCTCTCATCTACATCAAGGGTGGCCTCGAAGCCAAATTTAGCAAATTGATGGTACAAAAAATTATATCCAATCATAAAAATGATAACAGATCGAAATTGATTAACAAGCTTTCAAAAGAGAATATATGGCCACGTCTCTTTTAATCTAAACGGAGGCATCCATATAAAGAAATATAAATGGAGTCATCCATGCAACGAATGGCTTTGGACTGGTTTTTTATCAAAGAAAAACATTCTAGCGCAAGTTGGCTAAAATTTAACTTTCATGACCACCATCGTGATAATCGCTAATAGGGAAAAGACATACACAATTATAGTTGCAACAAGGAAATTGGTGGTTGGACCAAATGGATGAGTTCATCTATGAATTCAGTATCATGCATGATGTGAGAAAATCTTTTAGTGATGAAATTGGTTACTTTTTACATGTAGTTAGGGTTTTCAGACAATATGGTCACGGAATAAAATAATAGGGCTATCATATAATGTGGGTTTTTTAATTGAAAACAGAAGTACAATGCCCGTAATAAACGTTGTAGCCTCATAAAATAGAATGTTCAAAGTATGAAAGTTCTTTTTTGATTGACGGTTGATGATCTTGCCCCAGAAATGATAAACTTTTTGAGTAATTGCCTGAGTACAAACTTATTTTAGATAATTTATTGATTCTAACTGACTCAACCAATGTGACAAATATGTAAAAAATTGTTGATGAAGATGTTGAAGCATTGGATTATACATGTCATTCAACTAATGTCATGTACAATGTTTTGACCAATCTGACATTAGTTTATTTTCTCGAAGAAATTATATATTTTTCTTTCAAAAGACATTTTGAAATATTAGTGGATATGGAGAAAGGTCTCCAATGAGTTGCATTTAGAAAGCATTGGATGCAACAAAATGATTACAACTTTGCCCAAAAATGGATATGAACAGATATTTTAAATCAATTATTAGAGGTAGAAAGTGTAATTCCATGCACGAAGCTTACCAATTGTTAAATCCGTAGCAAGTTTATTGTAACGCTCTCATAGCCAAAACACAATGATTGTTTTTTATATGCATGAATGGGAAGGTTGGCAAAGGTTGCTAATGAATAAGATAAAACAATTAATGAGGTGAATATATGCATTAGGAGTGATGAACTCATTTGAATTCCCCGGCCATGAAGAAGATTTATTTAAGCCACAAATCATATAATTCTAGAAAGAGTACTTGCTTGGTCGTGAATGATGATTAGACAATTAATAAAAATTCAATATTCTCTATACATGCAGATGATTGAGGCAAGAAAAACATTGTAAAGAAGCTCCATTCTCACAAATGTTTGTAACTAAAGCGCTTAGCCATAGACAAAGTGCACATGGTGTGGACCTTTTGCATGAGAAAAATACTAATTTCCAGATTTGAACGGTGTCCTTTAGTTCATAACAAAGTAATTTGAGCATAGCTATCAGATCCTCAAAGGAACCAACTAAAATAATAGAAGAAACTCATACCTCGGAGCATGGTTGCGCCTTAATATACAAAAAGTTCAAAAAAAAAAATTTTAACGGATTTAAAACCTCAGAGAAAGGAAATATATTGTTTAAAGACATGCAATAAGCAACTAATTTGTGTTGGAGATTGCTCGAGATGATTACGAAATCAGTATGAGTAGAAAATTTTGTTTATAGGCACTATCTCTGCAAACAACCGCATTTCCGGTGATAGGGTTTCCCCAAGATTACCTGATAGATTACAAGAATAAGCAGAGCAATGAGGAGAAAGAAAGCGCTGAGCCAGACAATGACTGTCCCCTCCATAGCCCTGAATCCGTCCTATAGAGGAAAAAGTCTGATGTTTACTGATCTCCGGTTTTGGATTCTTCTCTGTTCACCTTCGCGGGATCTAATCCACGGATGAGAAGGGGTGGAGAGAGAAAGAAAAGTCTTGTTGCCTGGGGAAGAGGAGGAAGATGCTGAGATGATCTACGCGAGCACGGAGCTCGTTCGCTGTTTCGGCAAAAAATATTACATCAGTACTACACTAACGTGCCTGCCCCATGTTATTGTGTCATGTAAATATTCCTCGTATTATAATGACACAATAACACATCAATAATACATAAATAACACATCAATAACACACAATAACATATGAATAACACGGGAGAGAATATTCTGCCGTGTTACTGCGCTGTTTTTTCTCTATCGAGAATATTTATCGTGTTATTTAAGTGTTATTATGTGTTATTCATATATTATTTTATCCTGTGAATATGCTTGATTGTATAATAACACAATAACACATCAATAACATATCAATAACACACAATAACACATGAATAACACATCAATAACGTGGGAGGGAATATTCCCCGTGTTACTGCGTTGTTTCTTTTCTCTGTCGCACGGGGTGTCGTAGCATGATTTCATTGGTCACGCACGTTACTTCTAGATACGTAGTACTGATGTAATATTTTTTCACGTTTCGGGGCCGCTGCCTGTAATAAGCTTTGCAAGAGCCGTGGTATGTAAAATCCCCTATTTTAAATGACTTGCAAACCATCACAATCAATTAAAAATATAAATTAAAAAATTGAATAAATATATATTAAATTGATATTTTAATATAAATAATAAGATTTAAATCTAGCACCTGCACTTAACATCTTACTGCGTCATGATTAGGGCTATTATAACTGCCTGTTGTTCGTGAATTGCTCGTGTTCGGCTCATTAAGCAAATGAGTCAAACACGAATATTTTTTTTAGCTCATTATATAAATAAGTCGAGCATAAACAATAATATGTTTTAATGAGTTAAATGTAAACTTAGTCTGAACTCGCTCAAACTTTGGTTTGCTTGCACCTCTATAAATTTCCACCCTATTAGTTTTTATTAAGTTTTAGGCAAATTTAAAATACTATTAAAATTGCTTATTGGTCTTTTAGATTGAATCGATATTGAGCTTTTTAAGGCTCATTTAAATTTGTATCCATTTAATTCTAAAATTTTAAATTTATCATAATATCATCATAAGACTGACAAAAATTAGCATATGAAACAAAATTTTATTTTTATATATATCATAATGCATGTAATTTGTCAAATATCTTGTCATTTGCTTATTTGGAGGAATATGCCTCAATTATTCTTCTCGTGAAATTATCTCAGCCACTTTGACTAGTTGTTTTTTGCATTTCTTATTAGTACTAAAGTTTAACAATTCAGAACTCCTCTGTGTACTTTGAGACATCTTACTTTCTTTATTAACAATTTTGCCTTTCTTTCATTAAAATGTGTTTGTCTAGTTGGATAAAAAAAGGATTTAATGGTGAAGTAAGATGGGGGCAAAGTAGTTTTATATTGTGTTTGGTAGTCATGTTTCATGAATAAGCCATTTTTCTATTAAAGCAGTATCATATTTGTTGGATCCAAAAATATCTTGTGGATTACATCAAAGGTATAGAGCATTGGACGCGTGAGAGGAACAATGAGAGAGAAAAAAAGAGTGTACAATAACAAAAGTTATAAGAAGTTAAATTCGCTAGTTCTTTATTCAAGAAATGACCCTTATTTATAAATTATATAGGTATTTAAGAAAATTACATGTTTGTTTTTGTTTTGAAAGAGACGTTACAAGTCAATATAACACTTTTTATATTTGTAACTGACCCCAGAACCTTTTAGTATTCATAATTGATGATGACACAATTTTGTATGCTAAAGTGCTCGTAAAGAGACATTTAATGACATGTCGGTGTTGTCATTCGTCAATTTAAGAGTCATTATAGATATTATTGGGCATAAAAAGTCAGATTTTTATTTACACTTGATTGATAAAATAAAATAGATAAAGTAGCAGCTTTATAAATAATTGAATATAAATATGTATTATTATTTTAAAGATACATTAGAACCCGACTGGTGAGATTTTCAATGTGGAGAAAATTCTAAGCTTATTTCTTCTCGGCTGCCCCAACGCAGTCCTCACTCCGCACAGATCTCAATCCACCCCCCCATCCCCGCCCTCGCGGCACCATTGCCCGCCTTCTTCTTCCTCACTGTTGCCGCCACTTTCTCCGTGGCGCAGCGACGGCGCTTCCCTATACCCGCGCCACTCCGTCGCTCGTTTCGTCACTGCTTCTCTCTTCAATCTCCGCTTCTGTCGAGCAACGCTGCTGTCGTCGGAGTTCGTTTTTCTCTGCTAGATGGATCCCGTTAACCGAACTCCTCAGGTGGATTTATCTATCTCTATCTGAATTAATATACTTTGGCTAGAGATTTAGTGAGTTAAATATTTCATTTGATCGCATTGTTGAACTCGGATCTTGGATCTTCATGATTGATCCGGCTCAGGAGGAACTTTAGGTTCTCGAATCAAATTGGTATTGCAGACTAAGGGGTAGACTTAGCTGCACAGATCATGCACTACAGTTGGTCGGCAAGCGGGACATATATGGTTATGTTAGAAATGAGAGATAAATTACCGTCACAGTTTCAACGATCATAGTGGGATTTCCACGCCCTCTGTAATAAATGGATTGTCAGTCAGAAGCACATTTTATCCCCTTTTAAAGATAAACTCCTCTGTTTTATTTCAAGAATGTAAGCATGAAAGCAGATGAATAAGGCTTAAAATACATACCGTGAATATGAAGACTGAAACTACAGTTATCAACTAGCAAACTAGCAGATAGCTAGGCAATCAACATCCCTTACTGAGCTACTTTCAGCTCCTCTTCCCTTATATGTTGTGCTAGAATCTAAGGGGTAAAAAGTTTAAATGCTCTAATTATAATGAAAAAACGGCATGGGAGTCATATGTATTGGGAAAATTGAATGGCTATAAAATCCAATGGAGTGGAGCTTTAATAAGTTCTTGCATTGCTAAAATTCACTTTCCGGGAAAAACAAGAGCATCAAGTATCTTACTTCAAAGGACTGTTCCAAAAGGATTTAATTTAACAGATTTTCAAGATAAAATTGTGACAAACATGAAACTTGTGTAAAAATTAAAAGCAAGCTAAAAAACTTTCCATCTCGTTGATCACTTTGATAGCAATCTCTATTGTTTTAGTGGAAAGCAATCTTTGCAATGCTATTGGAGCTAAGATGCATCACATGTATGCTATCAAAAGAACTAATTCAAAAGCATAAATTGTTAGGTATGGCTCATATCCAGGAAGTTGGAGTTTTTTGGTGAAGAGGTGTGTCTCTTGGTGAAGAGGTGTATCTCTTGGTGAAAATGAGTATCTCTTGGAATAAAGGGGGTTGGGGGGAGCGAGGGCGTAATTGTAATTTTATCTGTAGGTTTGTATATGTCTATATATATGCGTAACTTTATGGGATGAAAATTATAACTTCTCTGAAATAGTGAAACTGCCGCTCTAGGCAATTCTTTGCCGAACCTAGTTAAAACTCTGTGTTCTTCTTTTGGTTTGTGTCGATTCTTGTTTTATTCCGCTTCAATTTTCATAACATAAGTAACGCCTAATTGTATACAGCAGGCACAGGCTGTCACAATCAGGGAAAAATGCAAAAATTTCACAAAAATTACAAATAGAACATAAAGCTTTCACATGAAGAATATAATGATCAAAACAATCCATACAAAATGCTGAACTAGAAATTTATGACAATACAACTCAATGCAAGACTTGAGTTTTTGTGCGGAGTAAGAAGTTATTTTTAGGTCCGAGGAATGATCAGGGAAAAACATAACCTAGATTGTTGAAGGCAGAAAAAAAAGGATGATAACTCAGCTTGTTATATTTTTTCAAGGGTTCAGCGAAGAAAGGGGTTAGATGAGTGATCTGGATAACTTCATATATATTTGGTTGATACATTGGAACAGGCATATAAAATTAATGTAGAAGGACAATGCAGTAAAAGTGGTAGGTCAAATGTTGCATGAATAGAAGTCCAGCAAAAGAGTAGCATGATCAGATACGCAGAAGAAATTTATTTTTTATTTTTTTTGTATCATACTTTTCATTGAAATAAAAATTTTGAGTGATGTTTTCTTCCCAAATATCTGAAAGATGCTCTTTTATTTTTAATATTAAATGAAGAGTACCTTTTATTTTGACAGAAGTACCTTAATCTGTGCATGCATGGTGTTCTTCTGATTACGAAATTGTCTTCAATTTTTATGCACTGTTGGAGCTTGAACATTATGCTATGAGGAGAAAACTATGGAAATATAAATTAAGCGAATAAAGAGAGTGATATAGTAATTCTGTAATCTGTTCATGCCGGCCAAAATGTATAATTCAATTACAATGTTGGCTACACATTGATTAATTTCTAATGTGTATTCTTTTCTCTTTCTTAAATATCCAACTTCTGGGCTTTTAACTGTTTTTCTTGTTTTTTTGAATGCCAAATAAACACAGGATTTTGTATTGAGTTTCTGATAATTATCTTGCTGATGCAGAGTAGGAGTTTCTTCTCTGGATATACTCGATTGTGCAAGGGCCTTGCTTTGGTGCTTGTTGCTGGACACGCTTTACTGCAGTTATTTCCTTTTACAGTTTCCTATCTCGCACTTATTCCAACGAGGTGATATGCAGGCCTGTTTCGCGTATTTATTCTCTCTTTTAGCATTTTTCTATTATCTCCGCTGCTTTTTTATAAGTTGTTGTGTCCAGAACTAAATGCTTCTGTTTCAAATCATATTGTGAAGGCCATCAGCTTATACTTCAAACGATGCAATTTGGCTTATTTTATCAAAAGCTTATAAAATTCAATCATGATCATCATTGCCACTACTTTGATCGCTTCATGCCAATTGTTTGGCATTAGCTTTATGGATCCTCATTCTCTATCTTCTATTACTGAGTGCTCTTTGAGGTTTTGAAATTTATAATAGATAAATTTTTATCTCTTTATACTGGAATTATTAGCGCTATGTTTTATCTACTCCTTTTTCTTTATAATTTTACATATTAATTTTATCTATGTGCCTTATTAGTGCATCTTCTACCTTTTATTTTATATGCCCCATGTGCCTAAAATTTGTTTACTGCCACCCTCCCTTCAACTAGTGACTCCTAGAATAGCTCTTATATAATTTTTCTTTGAGTCTATCTTTCATATTTTTGACACACATCCTTCTGAACATTCTCATTTTTTCTATATTCAGCTTAGTTTTAAAATACAGTGTCATACAAATGTAGTATGATTCTAGTTTTATAAAATCTTCCTTTAAATCTCCATGACATTCTTTTATACATCGGTTCTTTTACATTTTAAAGATGAATCTTTAAGCTATAAACCACCCACATGCCCATTCTTATATCCCATTGATTTGAGAATCTTTTTGGAGTAAAGTTATGAGTTACTTGGTGCCCATGAGTAGTCATTTTTTGGCCCAAAGGATTGTTTTCTTTTTCCATACTAAAGCGGCTTCAAATGAATCCAAATGCCTACTACCCTTGCAGATTGCCATTTAGATTTGTGACTAACTTGATGTGCTATTTAAAATAGTACAAAGAATAGAGGAAGTGAGAAATCTGAGGAATACAGAGAGGAGTGTTCCCCTCCATTATAATGCTCCATGAGCAACCCCCAATCTAACTCTTCACTACTTTCTTGTCTCCAAACCTGTAACATTCCGGCGAACTAAGGTTACCTAAAATTTTGAACAAATTAAAATTTTTTTTCTTCCCATTTTCTTTATTATATTGTTAGACTGGTTTCTTCTTATCAAATTTTCTTTCTGAGAAGAGCTCCATATTCACTCCATGCCACAGCCTGCATCATCTACCTATTTGGCACATTTGTGATCTACAACCTGATCAATTGTCCTCTTCGTGTCTCTCACTATTTTTGCTCCAGTATCTTACATTCGAAAGAATTAGTTGTAATTGTCATTTTGTGATATGATTTTATATACTGAATTTTGCCTAGTATATCATTTTGTACTTTTTATTCTATTAAAAGAAAGAAACCTCAAACTTCAAACCTAAAACCTTCTTTTTATTGTGCGTTCAAGTATCCCGTACTTATGCTATTTACGATAATGATTTGAAATATTTGGAGATTTTTGCATTACTCATGTAACTTACCCACAATATTTAGAGGCATGGCTTGAAACATTTGTAGTTGTAAGAGTAAGTTTGAACGAGGAAAAATGTTACATTTATTAACTCTTTTCTAAAGCTAGAAGTGAAGGGAGCCCCTTGTTGCTATATAGGGCTGTCAAAAAAAGTTTTTAGTTCACGAATAACTCATGTTTGACTAGCTAAGTAGTTTGTGTTCGATTCGTTTATTAAGCAAACAAGTCAAGTATGAACATTTTTTTTAGTTCAATTTATAAACGAGCTGAACAAGAACAAATGCTTGTTCATTTGAGTTCTGCTCGATCTGTCTCAAATTAATTAAATAATAAATAAGTAATATTTTATCCAATATTTGTATATTAAAACTTTATATTATGTTAAAAAAATATTAAATTTTAAATAATTTAAGCTAAGATTGCAAATGAAAAATAAAATTATGTGTTTGATATGTAAATACATAAGAATTGGGTGGTATAAATGTAAATACCTCTAATAAATTGTTTTCTTAGTAAGAAAACTATTGATCTTCGATTCTTCCCTGCCCTCCTTTCTCAGTTCCCCCACCCGTGGTGTCAGTTCCGCCCATAGGGCTATCAGAAAAGCCCGTCTTTCTCAAGTAGCTGGTTTTCGACTCGTTTTTATTACTTGTGTTTGATTCATTCATTAAACAAGCAAGCCGAACGCAACAATTTTTTTGAGTTCGATTTATAAACGAGCTAAACATGAACAAATGTTGTTCGTTCGTGTTCGGTTCATTTTGGCTCAAAATAATTAAATAATTAAATAATAATATTTATTTATAACTTTTTTATATTAATTTTTTATATGTATTTAAAAAATGCTAAATTTTTATTAGTTTAAAAAATTTTTTGGGTGGTTAAGGTGTTAGATATGTAAATGCTTGGAATTTGGGTGGTGTGTATGTAAATGGCCCTGAAATAGATGTTTCTAATATGATATTTAAAATTAAGGTAACATAAATGTAAAAGGTTGTTAGATATGTGAATATATAGGAACTTGATGTATGCATGTAAATGCCCCTTTACATTCCGCTCAGTAATTAATTGCAAGTTAAATCATCATTTGGATTTTTTGCGGGAATGCGGAAACGATGGGGTGGGACACTGCATTCTGTAAATAGTAATCTCATTTAGTCCCACATCAGAGATATTTGTGAGGACAGTCTTTTAAAAGCTGGAAATAAGCATTTCCTAAGCAAAAAATATCAAACTTGGAAGTGATGCATTTGAACTGCGTTTGGTTTAAATAATTATTTTTCTTAATATAATAACAGTAATTAAATTAATTACTTTTTTTAAATCCCATAAGACACACGAGAAATTTGAGCTAAACAGAGTCTAATTCGAACAAATAAATTTGAATTGAGTCAAAACACAAACAAGTAATTCACGAGCCAATTCGAATGCGAGCCGAACATGAGCAAAAAAAAGAGAAAGAACTAGCCAAACACAAACAAGTCTTGAGCTCACTCAAGTTCATCTCGTTTACACCTCTACCCTCCTGCACAATGTTGGATATGTAAATACATAAGAATTGTGTATGTATGTAAATGCGGAAAACAATTGTCAAATATTGTGCGTTCCCTCTTTCTTCAGCCCACGGTCCTACCCTCCTTCCCGCTTTTAATTCCATATCTTGAATAATGGAATGAATGCTTAAGTTCAGCTCTTTAAAATGTATAGGGGAAGCTCAATTTTTTCGAAATCCAGTACCCATGCATCGGCCACGCCGATGCAACTGTAATTTAAATATAAATTTAATTCCCATAAAAGATTTTTAAAATAAAAAAAATTAATTTTTGTAATTTAATTATATTATTTGATTTATTAAATTTTAATAAAATATTATTTCAAAACTAATACATGTTTAATTTGAACAAATGAGTTTGAATCCAAACACAAATAAGCTATTCACAAGTCATTTAGAACACAAGCTAAAGATAAACAACAAAAAATTCAATCAAGCTGAACATGAATAAGCCTTAGACTCATTCAAGGTCATCTTGTTTATGCCCCTAATGCTATTATGCTTTTGCAATCGTCAATCAAATTTTTTTGTTGTAATTTTAGATTGTAAATTTAATGAACTTGATGAAAACGCTTAGTATGTTTTTAGCTGTGCTACGTGAAAGAATCATTATTGAGACTCTCAGAACACTTTTTTTAGCTCTAGTTCAAGCTGGGCATGCTTTTTTTGCCTGTGAACCTATACAAATTGTGAAAACAATTTCATAAAAAATGAATGTGAGGTTGGGTTACGAATGCTATTTACTTTAATGCATGACGCTATCTTATCAACACAATTTGTTACAATATCGAGCATTTAAATCTATATCCATTTTCTTCATGGAGGTGAGAATTACAACATATCATGTTTGAATTCACTGTTTGTTTCATCGGTGAATCTTATCTATATTTACTGCTTCTATTGGTTCCATAGTATGATAAGCTATTTTCCCGCTATATTGATAACATTGCAGGACAATTCCATTTGCCTGGAACCTCGTAACTTCCGGTTACATGGAGCAAACACTGCCTGGGGTATGTGTTTTTTTAATGCTAGGTTGATGATAGGAGTTATTGCTACGTTTTGTATGTAACTAAAACCTTTGCTTTTTAAAACTGCTGTGATCACATCTATGGTTAGTTTGTTTTATTCCTTATGTATCATGAAGTTTACTTGTTATAGAAAACGTGAAAATCTATTATGAAATTAATACCCCTCTGTGCACTTGTATATGTGAATTAGGAAGAAATCTGGCTGCGTGAATTACTTTGGTTTGGAATTCTCGTTGTTGCTAGTATCGTTCAGTGAATAGGGTGAATGATGGTGAATTATGGAAAAAGATGTTTGTGGGAGCTGGTTTGTAAGCTTGATTTTAATTTTCCATTTTGATGTTTTCTTTTAATCCATCTCACATGTTCCATCATGATTTCCACTTGAACACAGGAGTGCAAGTATAAATCATGATATAGTTTCAGAGTATGAGGTGATTAAAATGGAGTTGTGCCTTGTGGTTGTATGATAAAGCAATTCGTTTTGAGTAACAGTGGTGTAAGAGTGAGAAACAACTTACTGTAATTATATATGGTAAAAATGAGGGTTAAAGATGAATATTTGTAAAATTAGATTGAAGAAAACAAATTATACTTACACACGAGGCTTCACGACAATGTGTGGTCTCAAGAGCGGTGTATCCTTGCCCTTTCTTTTGAGGGAGGTTAGATAAGTGGTTAAGTAGAGGTACAAACTATAATGTTGTAGAGATCCTCAAGTTAGCACTTATTGAGGATTAGGCAATGACTTTGGCATGCAAATATGAGAGCAGAAGATAATTGAAGAAGGCGGGGAGATAGTATTAATGTGAAAAGTATATGGAAAAAAATTTAGACCAAATATTTCATAACTCTAAGTTTTATGAAAATAATATAAATTAGCCTGAGGCCCTCAGTACAAGATGTTGCACTTATCTTGAATGATGAAGTGAAAAAATTAGCTCAAGTAATAAATAGAAGGATTCCATACAGAAAATGATTTGGAAACTGAGTCAGTTAGACGGGAGTAAACTGGTTGGCGGCTGGGGCAGAGAGACTAGGGAGTGGCTGTAGTAGAGGAAGGGTGTAAGCAGGGTTAGGTATGATGTGAAGGTGTTGGAGGGGGCTGACGGTACTGGTTGAGAATTTAGTGGGTTGTGGTGCGGTAGTTGTATGGGATGGAGTCAGGTTGGCGGCCGGGGAACAAGGGCTAGGGATTCAACGGTGGTGGAAGAGGTGGGATAGGGTTGGTGACAAAATAGCAGGAAAGGTATGGGGAGTGGTCTACGCAGCAGCAGTGGAGACGAGAGGGAGTTATGGCAGCAGTGATGATTGAAGACTAGAAGCGGGTGATTGCAGGAAAACTAGCTGGTGGCAGGGAGAAGGGATGCAAGGGATAACAGACGACACAGAGAAGGGATGCACTACAGAGAACAAAGGCGGATTAGGAACTGATAATTATCTTCGCGGGAGCAAGCTATAGCCAAAGGACCCCTCAAACTCTTTGAGAAGATCACCATCTCATACTAGTTACAACCAGAGCCCCTTGTCAACCTCGAATACAACTCTAAACGGGAAGATAACTGCCAATGACAAGCTTGGACCTAAATTCAGCAAAAAACAACCTTAAATAAAGCAAATGACATATTTATAATAGTAGATAAGTAAAGAGGACTTGGGCAACAACCCTAACCCAAATAATTGGGCCAAATAACCCTCTTGCCTTTCCTCTGAACCAATCGAGCTGTCCTAGTTGGACTAGCTGTCGGTTCTATAGAGCCCCACGTAAGACTTCCGGGGTTGGGGAGCTTTGACTCATTCGTCGAAGCTTCTGGTTGCATGTTGACGATGATAGAGTTGTTGTAAGCTCCTGGGGTTGAAGGATCTTCTCCTATGGTTTAGAAACACCCGGTTCTCATTGGCCACTACACTATTCCCCAAAGCACTTGAGTGTTTTCCCCTACTTGCGAGCATACATCCATATCAATTCACCCTTCTGGGGGTCCACTACTGAGCTGAGTTGGGCCTGCGTATCATGCATATACTATTAAATTTTCCCAACATAATCCAAGGTCGGTTCAACCTGATTTGAAGTGAGGGTAATCTGAACCTCCCCAAATGGTAGTGACCATGGCGATAAGATATTGATCGTGATGTTCTGAAATGTTCTCTGTCATGACCATCCCATGTCAAGATTTAGTGTCTTAGTCCTATCATTCTCTATCTTCACCAAAATAGGTCCCATTGATACCGCTCGACTGGCAAGGGCACTTGTGATCTTGGGCTTCGCCAAAGGAAGGACAATGCGCTTCTCCTCTTTGGTGAAGGAGTAGATGTTTTTGAATCCATTGAGCTGAGTCCTATTAAATTGCCACGCCCTCGCCCATAAAAGGTGTCAGACATCCATGGGTACCATGTTGCTCCACACTTGATCCTGCAATTATTTCCCAGTCGAAAACTTCATTAGACATCTTTAGTCATTATTGACCCTGTTCTCCTTCAGCCACATCAAAGAATACGACTGAAATGTCGTTGAGTCATGAGGCTCAATTTTTTCACCATCTACGTAAACACCATGTTCTTACTATTTCCTTCTGTTCATAGTGCAACAAGTGTAAAACATGTAGCGAAGCCACTATAGATCCCTTATATCTTTAATTTATAGGACCTGTCGAACCACAGGTATCTCACTCTCATCCGGTGGAAGATAACAAACCTCATCATGTTCCTCAGCTACCTCCTCGTCACTAACTTCCTCCATCGCGCCGTGCTAGGTAAAAGAGACTACTCAGCTCGTCGGGCAGCCGCTGGTGGCATCTGAACCATTTTTTTGGCGGGGATTGTAATAGGCATTTTACTCTTCTCAAGCTTCTTCTCATTTGGGTGGTGTTGTTCTTATTCGAACTAGTTTTCTAAACTTTCTGAGACATGGTCTTGCTGATGTCTCCAATTGCAGATGATTAACTGCTTGGAAGTGGTTGTCTGCTCAGTTTCAGTTGTTTCAACACCTTCAGAGCTAAGGTCTGGACATCTCTCAGTGACCAATAGGACTGTAACTATACCACATTGTTGATAGCTGGCTTCAGGCATCCCAGATAACGGACTGTGGTGTGCTCCTCTGGCTCAACCAACTAACAATTCATCTGCAATTGGTTAAAATGTGTTGTGAACTCTACTAATAAATCTCTCTGCTATAGGTGGTGGAGTCTCAAAAGCATATACTGCCAGTAATGAGGAGGTGATATTTTCCTTGCATTGCCTTCCTCATCTTCTCTCACTTAATAATCTTGTCATTGTCTTATCTCTTCCTTTACCTCTACAATTTTTCCCACCACAAAGAGGTTCTCTTCCTTAATTTGATGGTTGCAAGCTTCACCCTCTTGTCGTCTGGTATCTCTTTGTATTTAAAAACCCTCTCAACTGACTATAGTCATTCGATAAAATGTGGTGGACGTTTGAAAGGGAGTAAACTGGTAGGTGGCTAGTGCAGAGAGAGAGAGAAAGAGACTAGGGGATGGAGTATAGGAAGGATGTAAGTACGGTGATGGTACTGGCTGGTGATTTAGGGGGTTGTATTGCAGTAGCTGTGTGGGGTGGAGTCAGACTGGCAGTAGGGAAACAGGGGCTTTGGATTTAACTGTGGTGGAAGAGGTGGGATAGGGTTGGCGACAAAGTAGCAGGCAAGGCATGAAGAGGGGTCTACACAACAATAGTGGTGTCAAGTGGGAGTTATGGCAGTAGTGATGATTGACAGCTAGAAGCAGGTGATTGTGGGTAAACCAGTAAGTGATGGGGATAAGGGATGCAGGGGATAGCAGGTGGCAGATAGAAGGGATGCGGAGATTTGGAAACGAATAACTATCCATGCGGGAGCAAGCTACAATTAGAGCATGTCTTGAACCCTTGGAGAAGATTGACATCTCATACGAGTTATAGCTGGAGCACTTTGTCGCTCTCGAATATAGCCCTACATGGGAAGACAACTACTGACTCCAAGCTTGGAGCGAAACTCGGCAAAAACTAACCCTAAACAAAGCAAATGATATATCTATAACTATAAATAAGGAGGACTTGGGCGACAACCCTAACCCAAGTTATTGGGCTGACCGACCCACTTGCCTCGCCCTGAACCGATACAACTATCCCAGTTGGACCAGTCGTCGGTTCAATAGAGCCCGCGTCAAAAGTTCTTTTTGACAACCTTCTATTTTATATAAGTTGCGTTTGGTATGGTTTCTATAGAAACTTCCTTTGTCAGTTTGATGGTATTTCATTGCATAATATTGTAATTAACTTGTACTTTATCAATAAATGATTGTACTAGTGTGCATCGTATACAATTAATGTATATCCTTGTGATTGGAGAAGGAATTAATACACTACAGCAGGTATGAATTATAGAAGATGGCTTCAGAGGTGGAAATAGGGGGGTTTAGGGGATTTTTTAGATGTCATTGATAAATAGTTCATGATTCATTTAATTTTTTTTTCATGAGAACGGAGATCGACAATTAGTAGGGATGTATCAACTTTATTAGTGATGATGAGTGACGACCTTGATGTTAATTGTGAGTATTGCACTTGGCTGAAACGGTTTTGGAAAGATACCATTTTCACTGTCACTTATCTCATAAATAGAGTCTCTTCTAAAATTCACAAATTCTAAACCCGCCTAGCAGTCCTGTTGTCATGCTTCCTTGCCACTCGAATCTTCTCCACCATAGATCCCAAGATTTGTGGGTGTACTGCTTTTGTTCGAAACACTGCTCTCGATCAGAGTAAACTTGATCCCAAACTCATAAAGTATATCTTCTTTGGGTGCTCTGTCACTCAAAAAGGAGTATTGATGTATTGATCGTAACACTAACAAAATTTATGTGAGTATTGATGTCTTCTTTTTTGAAAATATTCCTTATTTTTCTAGCTCGGCCCCAAGTGAGGGGGAGCTTGGATTTTTAGACATCGTTTCTTATCCTACTCTTATGGATGTCCCCCCATTGTACTTGCCACTAAGGAGTCATTTATTCCGATGAGTGCACCATCTGGTGAGTCCCCTGATTTAGTGAGTGCACCATCTCCTCCCACTATCCGTGTCTACACTTGGCGCACCCGTTCTAATGTTCTTTCCTTAGAACCCGCTACCTCCTTACAGGACCTTGACTCCACTCCAGGCGACATCTTCAGCACGACCCTTCCTTCGAATGAGGTGAGTTCTCCAAGTAAGGTATGCAACTAGACTTGCTCACTTTCTATGGCAGACTATGTCTCTTTCCGCAGTTTTTTGTCGACCTATAGGCATTTGCTACTGCCCCGACAGACCATCAGAACCCAGCTACTATTCAGGTTGCTCTTGCTGATCCGGCTTGGAAAACGACAGTAATGGAGGAAATGAATACCTTTCAGCGGAACTATACATGAGACATCATTGATCTTCCTAAGGGTAAAAAGTTGTAGGGTGCCAATATATTTTCAACACGAAGTTGAACTATGATGGATCTTTTATATGCAACAAGGCACGATTGCTTTTCAAAGGGTATTCACAGACCTACGAAGTTAACTATGAGGAGACATTTGATCCAGTGGTCAAGTTAAACACTATTTGGGTCCTGTTGTAACTTGTGGTGAATATGGATTGACATTTATTCCAACTAGATGTCAAGAATGCATTTTTTAATTGAGAGCTGACAAAAGAGGTGTACATGTTTTTTCCCTCAGGTTTTGATTCTACTGCCTCTAGAGGACAAGTGTGCAGGCCACGGTTGTTCCTTTATGGGCTAAAGCAGTTCCCAAGAGTCTTGTTTGACAAATTCATAAAGTTGGTCGTGGACCATAATTTTACTCGGGCTCAATTGGATCACATCCTCTTCTTCCGGCACTCCTAATGACCAGGTAGTTATTCTTATTATTTATGTTTATGATATTATTCTTCCAGGTAAAGGTCTCCCAACATTGGATACCTTAAAAGACATTCATGCTTCATTCTTAGAGACTAAAAATTTGGGATCCCTCCAGTACTACTTAGGCAATGAAGTAGCTCTGTCCTCTTGGGGAATTTGTTTGTCTCAGCACAAATATGTGATTGATCTCTTGACAGAGAACAACCTTCTTCTGTGCAAATATTTTGATGTTTTAATAGATTCTAATGAAAAATTATCTGACATTCTCAAATGTTATACTTGACAACAAAACTAATTACCAGTGTCTTGTTGGAAAGCTCATCTACCTGACTCATACTCGCATCGACATATGTCACGTAGTTAGAATAGCGAGTCAATTCATGCATGACTCCTACGAGCACCACCTCCAACCTGTCCACTGGATTCTCCACTACTTAAAAGATACACCAGACTCAGGTTTGTTCTTTTATTGCCACAACTCTCGGTTCTTGTTTATACATATGTTGAAGGGGCCGAATCTGTTCACGATCGACGTTCTACCTCGGGGTATTGCTCATTTGTATGAGACAATCTTGTCACGTGGAAAAGCAAGAAACATTTTGTGGTTGCTCAAGCTGAATTCTGATCCATGTCCTTAGGAATTTGTGAAGTCCTCTGGCTACGCATCATACTCCGCGAACTCCGTATGCTAACCTGTCCCATTACAACTATTTTGAGATAATAAGGGTAGCATTGCTCACAGCTCAGTCCGGCATAATCATATCAAACATGTGGAAACCAATAGACACTTTATTAAGAAATGATTGGGTCCGCGGAGATTTGTGTTTTATAGATGACCTACAGTGGTCAGCTAACGACCATCCTTACCGAGAATTTGTCTTGCCCTTTGTTCAAAAATTTGAATTCCAAGTTAAACATAATTAACTTTTATGTTTCAACTTGAGGAAGAGTATTATAATATAACGACTATCCCTACGTCATCTTTACTTATTATTTGATTTTATTCCCCGATTATGTTTTTCTTCTTTTGCTTAATTATGTTTTATTTTCTTTAATAGTTATTTTATTCTATTTTTATTGCCTTCCATTATTATGTCTATTGTAATTGGGTCTAAATGTCCGTCTTATCAATAAAATTATGCTGCTCTTTTTTCAAATCTGACACATAGCACACAATTCTTTTTTTTATATTTCTCCCCTTAATTTTTTTATCACACAGATAGCACCCAAATTATTAATGTCACTACAAATTACACTTCCTATTTTCTTGTATAGATTTAAAGCAGCAAAGTGCTATGTATATAAATATGAACGTGTGCGAGATATGTAAACAAATAAGAATTAGGTGTTAGGTATCTAAATTTCCCTTTCAAATTACAATGCCCAAAGACAGCACCCCAGGAAACAGAATGTTCATCTTCTAAGCTTTTTCCGGCCGAAACCATATTTAATTTAGACGAATGTGCTATTTCCGTCATAACAACTCACTATTGGATTTACTTTAAATTGAACCAGAACTGAAATATACAAAACCATATGATCAAACTACTTGTAAACAAAATCTTCTCTCTCAAGTTCATCATGGTTGCTTGATGCGATGCTTTCATTGAGAATAAACACGCTGGATTTTATCAGGCAATCAACAAATATAACGTAGATCTATTTTTCATTTAACTTACAGCATTAAAGAAGTGACTGAATCATGTGGCATTTAGTCTTAGATAATAATAAGCATAATCTGAAATTCTTCTTGGTATACTTTAATGTGTTATTTCATCAGCGAGTGAATTTGATATAACTAAAAAACTGCTCCGTTATGCAGGTAATCATCAGTGTAGTTGGTCTTCTTTTCATTGGGAAGTTTCTGGAACCACTATGGGGATCGAGGGAATTCTTTAGGTTCATTGTTGTTGTCAACTTCTTAATTTCGATCTGCATTTTTGTCACCGCTATTGCGCTATACTACATCACAACAGAGGAGAGCTATCTGTAAGTGCAGTCATTTTGGCGCAATTATTTATTATATACCTTTTGTCGACCAGAAATGCTTGCTTAAATTTAGTCCAGTTTATATTGAACATCAGCGCCTCAAAACCCCTTCGATTTTTTTTTTTAATTTTCCTACTGTTTGATAAACTTTCCTCTAGGCTTGGGCGTTGTACAACAGAGCAGGAAATACATCTGGAAGGTTGTGAAAATTATGTGAAAGGGGTTGAAATGGTGCATAGCAAGGTAGATGTTATCTAAAGGAATTTATTTAGACAGTATATAACAAAGAAGGTTGTGAATGAAAAAAGTATTCATAAAGCTGACTCAGGAAGTTTGGAAGCAAGAGTAATGTTGGTGTTGCAGAGATTGTTTGGGCTTTCCTTGAATGATATTGGTTTCATAATATAGATCTACTTCTTTACCTTTAAGATTCATATGCAATAACCATAGTGCAAGACATATCTAAATTGCATTGATTATGTTGGTATAAATACTAGGATTGTTTGCAATCGGTTTTTTTTATTTTACAGCTTGTAAAAATATGGGGGAAAATTAACTTATAAGTTATATTCTTTTTGGACGAGGTCATATGAATAGTTTTCCGGTTGTTAACACAACATTTACATATGTGTTGAATATACACTGCTAAATATGTCCTCAGCCACCCGATATGATATTTTTTTCTGGTTATAAATACAATTTATAATTTCTGTTTGTCATTGTCCTTTCAGTCTAATCTACCCGTTGAAATGGTCCTTGCTTCAACCTTTCACTACTTATTGGATATGACCAGTTTGTAGATTTTATTATTCCAATTGTTTGGGTATTTTAATAATAATAATAATAATAATAGTCATAATTTTTTTTTGAAATTTCATTGCAGCTACACACCTGTTTCTGGTTTCCATGGGATCCTTGCAGGTTTTTTGGTAGGAATCAAGCAACTTATGCCAGATCATGAGCTGAGTCTATTTTTCCTGTTGAAAATAAGAGCAAAGGTTCAAAGTGAACCTTCATTTTTTTTTTCTTTTTCTTTTCTTTCGCCATTAATTTGTTTTGATGTTCTTTCCAATTTGATATTCTTACCGGCTTCCTTACCTCTATTCCAGTGGATTCCTACTCTCATTGCAACGGTTTCAGTAGCTGTGAGCTTCTTCGTACCAGAGTCTGCTTCCTACCTTCCAACTGTACTATTTGGCTTCTACATGGGTTGGCTTTACTTGCGTTATTTTCAGACAAAGCCTGAAACTGGCCTCAAAGGTGATCCGAGCGACGAGTTTTCCTTCTCTAGCTTCTTCCCTCAGTTTCTGCGGTAATGTGATTTGCACTCTAATATTATGTGGAAAGTCATTCTGTATACACTCTAAGTTATTTTCTGCCCTCTACGAACCTGCAGCCCAATTCTTGATCCAGTTGCTTCATTGTTTGACAAAATGTTGTGTGGAAAAAGATTGCATAAGTTGAGTGAATCTAGCTCACTGGTGTTAAAAGGAAATCCGTTACCTGGATCTGATCCTATCGATGCATCAAGGAGAAGGTAAGCCTCCAAATTTTCCTGATGATATCCTTGGCCACCATTTTTCAAGTTGTTTTATTTTTTGGTGGATTTTGGATGCAGAATACCGTAGGATCTATGATTTCTTGTAAATATTTAACTTATAATGTAAATCTAGATGCAATCAAACAATATGATTTGCATTTCTAAATATTTTGTTTATTCGACAAAGTTGATTTTACCAATCCTTCTACTATTTGCAAGCCTTGTAGGACATAAAATAACATTAAAAAAAAGGAGCATTTAAATACATACCACCCAATTCCTATGTATTTACACATCTAGCACCTGAACCTTACTTTTTACATTTATAACACCCAAATCTTTTATGTCACATAGAAAATACCTCCATTTTAACTTAAAAAATATATAAAATTCATTTTTTTATACATGTTTAGGTGACAATTATGTAAAAGTTGAAGTTTTAAGTTTTAGATATGTAAATACATAGGAATTGAGTGATTACGTATGTAAATCTTCTTAAAAAAATTATTCATGGGAGACTGCTACTTAAGCGACAGTCCTATAGAGCTGCTGCAACGAGATATATATATATATATATATATATATATATATATATATATACAGAGACACACAATAGCTGAAGACCTAATACCTCAAATCAATTCTTAATCTGCGAGCAAAGCCCAAATTCATTTTGAATCTTCGGCGGTTTTTACTTTACGAATATTCATCTCATCTTAGCCTGTTATAATTAGCATCTTAACCTCCGAGAAACCCATTCCTTTCAGGAAGATTTACATAACATGCCCATACATGCAATGGTTTATTTCATTTTTTTAAAGTTAAAATACTAGTACATTTTATGTCAGAGGAAAGACCTGGATGGTATAAATATAAAAAGTGAAGTTTAGATGTCAGATATGTAAATTCATATAAATTAGGTGGTATGTATGTAAATGGCCCAATGCAGTAACACGTGTCCTCCTCTGTGGCCTGTGACAGAGAACGGGGAGCAAGAGCACTGGAGCAGAGGCTGGCAGATGAGAGAGTTGATGCTGCTGCTGTTGATGGGAAGAAGGAAGGTGCTGCCCATGGAGATGCTTCAGAAATTGTTTAGGAAATAAGCTTTTACTGCATGGCCTTTTCTTTTCACAGTTTGGGAGAGGAGATCAGAATGTGATGAATGAAAAAAATAAAAGTTTTTATTTTATTTTATTTTTTTTCAACTTCCCCCATTTCTATGCCTTGTTGTTCTCTTTTACTGTTTTTAACTTGTTACATTTAGTGAATATAAGAGTATCATACTACATTATAATATTTTGAAGCTGGGTTTTTGGGCCATTTATTTCCATATTTAATTTATTTTTTGAAATTGATGTACCTTTTTTTTTTTTAAGTTCAGCCTTAATAGTAATTTGATAAAAAAATTAATGGTTAGTATTTAGAATATGATTTGTAGTTTGAGTCACCTAGTTGAAGAAACTCATCCACAAGTCTTGTAGGCGCTTATCATGTCCATAAATATGGAATTTATTGATTTCAAGTACAAATTTTATATTATTTAATTAAAATAGCAAAATAAAAAAAGTAACCTTTCATATTATAATTATAATACCTTAATATCTTAAATCCATACATAAAAGTATATGTTCACTTTTTAAAAATAAATAATAGTAGTCTTTCTATTGTGATATTAAAAATTGAATGTTATAAATTCTAAACATTAAGGTTAATTTGAATTTTTTGTTAAGAGAAAAACTTACACATATATAACAATTGACATGTATTTACATATGTATACAATATATTTCACCTTTAAAAGATAGTGATGATGTTATTTTTAATGTGGCATGTGTTTTAAATACATAAGAATTTTGTGGTATGTAAATGCTCCCAACAACAATAATAATATGCCTTTGTCCCACTGAGTGAGGTTGCCTGCATGAATCCCTTTTCTCCATTAAGTCTTATTGTGTAATATTTTCATTTAATTTTAATAAATCAATATCTTTTTAATACAACATGCCCATGTCTTTTTAGATATACATTTAGCTTTCTTAGCATAAGTCAAATCTAAAACATCTACTTTCCTAACAGGGTCATCAGATGGCAGATGTTTAATGTGACAAAACCATCCAAGGCTACTTACGGTAACTTATCTGCCACTGGAACTATTTCAACATCTTCACAAGTATATTGGTTTCACATTGTCTCTTAGAATAAAATCACTCATCGAACCAAGCATTCTCATCTCGACAACACTTAATTTTATGTTTCTCTTTTATAGACCAATAATTGACATCATAAAACATTGTAGGTCTCACCACTATCTTATAAAATTTACCTTTAAGTCTAAGAAGTACTTTTCTATCATATAATAGGCACAATACATTCATCCACTTCAGCCGTTCAACTTGAATTCTACTAATAATATCCTCATCAATATAACCACTATTTTGAACAATAAACCCAAAATATATAAAATGTTCACTCATTTAATGACTTGATCTATTATTACAGCCCCATAGCTAAATCTACTATCATTGAATGACTTGATCTATTATTAAAGCCCCAAAGTTTTTTTCCTAAATCAACAAAAAATATAATGTAAATCTTTCGTATTATCTCTATATTTTTTCCATCAAACCTCTCAATAAATGTATAGCTTCATAATAGACTAGCCCGGCATGAATCCAAATTGACTTCAATAAATTTTTGTATCACGTCGTAACATATGTTCAAATGTTCAATTACTATCTCTTAAACTTTAATGTATGAAACATTAATTTAATTCATCTATATTTTATACTCTAATACATCCCCTTTATTTAAAAAAAACAATAAAATCTCTCCCTTCATTAGATATCCTTTTAGTTAATAAAAGAATATTAAAAATTTAATAAACAAAAAAAAAATATTAGAACTTCTACACCTGTCCACACTTTTATTGGAATATCATTAGATCAAGCCTCATCTTCTATTTGATTAAAGCGATGGTGAAATAAAAAATTATTATTATTTATGATATTAATAACACCAAAATACTTTACTCATAAAAAAATAATCAATTTGTATTTTATTAGCTCTTATAATTGATAATATGCTCATCTTTTTAAAAAAAATAAAATATTATGAATAACAAGATCATAAGCTAAAACAAAATCTAATATAACTATATTTTTATTAATCACTCCAAAACCAAAATCACTATAAATATTTCTAAAGTCTTCCATCATTCTACTATATCCATTTAAATCTTTTCAAATATTTTTTTTTTCTTTTAAACATATATGCAAACCTCTTTGAGTACTATAAATACTTATAATATTAAGAAATTTAGTATGAACACCAATATTTAGATTTATATTTATATCTCAAATTCTACTAATTTTTATAATATTATCTTTCAAACTCAAATCTATACTTACACATACATCATTTATAATACAACTCTTACATGAATACCAAAGTATAAAACAAAAACTATCAATCTTTTTCTTTTCTACAACTCATTTAGTTTCTTAAATGCATTAAATATTTACCTAGATATGAATTATAATATCTTTTAATTTTATTAATTTACATATGAGAGTGCTTATATTCCAAATTTATATCATAATACTATTTTTATAAAGGAACTCTTTATCTACATCCACCCATAGTAAAATAATTGTTATTTATTTAACATTACACTCGGGTGCCCATACTGCAAGGGACGCCCATACAGCAAAGGAAGCTAACACGCTTACCACTATATTCAGGTCATAAATGACATTATTAGTAGAGAACATCACGCAATAATTCAAAGCATTGACGTCATAATTTTTGCATCAGGGACCCCGAAATAAAAATATATTAATAAAATGCATAGAAAATAACATATTCAAGTAGCTCACACCACACCTGAGCATCTTAAATTAATAAAAATCTTGGGTAATGATACCCAGCCAGCACTTTGAGGTAGAAACAGACTTACATACCAAACACCGAATAATCACTTTCCTCACAAATCTCATAATCTTAAAAGAAAAAGACATTAACGAAATAAAACGCCTTTCATCAGATCCGTACTTCAATTATTCCCTAAACACGCGCACAGAACATTAATAAAATGACTGTTTTGATAAGCAAGAAAAACGACTTCAATGAAGAGGAAATTGAAATTTGAAAGTGCAGAAAAGCTAAAATCAGAGCAAGGGCGGAAAATCAACCGCTGCGACAGCTCCAGGCAGGGAGAATGCGCTTGGTAGACCGGGCACACAGAAAGAAGTTGCGAGATCCAAGATTTTTCAGTTTTTCCTCTGGATCAAGACCTGTTCCACCAAAACAAAATCAATATCAAAGTCTACAAATTATTATAAGCAAAATGCAGACAAAGTATATATATATATATATATAGCAATTGGGAGAAACTTTGTTTAATCGGTACTATGACTTGGCTAATTTTCCTCTGAGAAAAGAATATCAAGAATTATATTGAAAAATGAAAATGATAAATGCGGCTTGCTGCCGACTTAATTACTTATGGATTATAATTGATTTAACATATTCATAACTCAAATGTTTACATCTTGATTTGGCCCTTTGCGCGATGGGCCAAGCAGAGGCGACAAGCCCACAACCAACGAGCAAAGCTGCGAAGCCAGCAAGCCCATGACACTGGGCCTTCTCGATCCAAATCAGAGTAGAAAGTTATTTGCCCGTGCCAATCTTAACGACAGTCATCGCTCGATTATGCAGCTTGTCTTCTTCCTTGTCTAAAATCAATGACTACTTGGCTCGATTAACTATTCCTATATCACCATAATAATCATCAATTAATTTATCACCACAAATATGATGGAATGGATTGAACTCGGTTCAAGTATGAGATGATCAAAATGAATATAACAACATCAACAACAAAAGGTCTTTATCCAACAAAGTGAGGTCGGCCACATGAATCCTTTTTCTTCACTGTGTCCTATTGAGTGTCGTATTTTCATTTAATTCTAAAAGATTAAGATCCTTTTTACAATATGCCCAAGTCTTTTAAGTCTACCTCTGCCTTTGTTAACATAAATCGAATCTAAAACACATACTCTCCTAACCGGATCATCACATGGTTGATGTTTAATGTGACCAACCCATCCAAGACAATTCTCTCTAATTTTGTCTGCAACTGGAGCTACACTAACCCTATCACGGATATATTCATTTCACATTTTGCATCTAAGTGTAAAGCCACCCATCCACCTAAGCATTCTCATCTCGGCAACACTTAACTTAGTTTTAAGATTCTCTTTTAAAGGCCAACATTAGCGCCATAGAGCATTGCAGGTCTCACCACCATCTTATAAAATTTTCCATTCAGTCTAAGCGATACTTTTCAATCACACAATAGGTTTGAAGCATTCCTCTACTTTAACGAACCAATTTGAATTCTACTAATAACATCCCCATCTATATCACCTTTACTTTGAACAATACACATATTTAATAATTTGATCACCCATAGTTACAACTTAGTCACTAGTGCTACTACTATTAAAATTATACTCCATATATTCAATTTTAGTTCTACTCAAATAAAGGCTTTTAGACTCCAGTGTAGACCTCCAAAATTCAAGTGTTTCCCGAGCTTTCTCTTTAGTCTTATCCAGGAGAAGGATATCATCAACGAAAAATCATACACCAAGGTACATACTTCGGTAAATATCCAGTAAGAGAATTCATAACTAAAGCAAAAAGATATGAGCTTAAAGCCGATCCCTGATGTAATTCAACTGAAATAGCAAAATATTTGGTCAATCCTCCTTCAGTTCGAACACAAGTAACAGCTCTAGTATACATATATTTATTGACTTGAATAAAAGTCAAATTAACACATTTCTTCTCAAGGACATTCCAAAGGATATCTCTTGGAACCTTATCGTAAGCTTTTTCTAAATTAATAAAAATCATATGTAGATTATCCTTATTCTCTTTGAACTTCTCCATCAAACCTCTCAATAAATGTATAGCTTTCATAGTAGATTTGTCTGGCATAAATCCAAATTGATTATGAGAAATCTTTGTAATGCGTCTTAACTCATATTCAATTACCCTCTCTCATAATTTTAAAGTAAGACACGTCAACTTAATTCCTCTATAATTTGCATACTTGTGCATCCTTTTATTCTTAAAAATGGGGACAAAAATACTCTTCCTCCACTCCACATGCATCTTTTTTAGTTATTAGAACAAAATTAAAGTGTTTAATTAACCAAAAAAATCCCAAATCTCCTATATATTTCCCAACTTCAATTGGGATATCATCAGGTCCTACAGACTTTCCACCTTTGATTTAGTTTAAAGCCCCATCAACTTTTTTTCATTAATGTGATGGTATAAATGAAACATTTTATCATAATTAATGTTATTAACATCATTAATATTGAACATATTTTTAGAAACTTCGTTAAAAGATTATCAAAATAACTCGCCTACTTATATTAAATATCTTTTTTTAGAAAAAAATACTTTTTGATTTTCATCTTTAATATACTTTATTTGAGTTAAATCCTTACTTTTCTGTTAAATCCTTACTTTTCTTTTTTAAATCCTTACTTTTCTTTTCTCTTTGTTTGGCCACTTTATACATATATTTTTCACCCACTTCAGTATCTAAAAAATCATAAAAAATCACTAAAGACAGAATTTTTATGGTCATAGATTGTTCTCTTAGACTCCCTATGGGCCATTTTATATTTTTCTCAGTTCTCTAAGATTTTACATTTAAATCAATTTTTATAATATAACTTCTTATATTTTATGTTTTCTTGCACATTATTAGTTTTCTTGCACATTATTCTTGCACATTATTATTCTACCACAAACTATTTTTATTTATTTTCTTTTGATTCTTCAAGTACATCTTTCCTCACTTGTTTAATAGTGTTTGTTACTTTATCCCACATAGAACTTGATTCTTCATGAACATCCCAAATCTTGAAATCCTAGAGTTTACTGATAAAAATAATTTTATGTGTTTTTTAGGTGCCCCCATCAAATTCTACGATAATGATTCCTAGGATTCTTTATTTTACAACTCTTCATCCTAAAATCTAGAACTAATAATCGATGTTGAGTACTTAAATTCTCAGTTGAAATGACCTTACAATCTTTAGTTGAAATGACCTTACAATCTTTACAATCTTTACATTCTCGACGATCACTTCTTCGTGTAAGAAAATAATCAATATGCTCATCTCTTTTCTTGAACAAAGTATTAACAATAACAAAATCACACGCTAAAGCAAAATCTAATATGACTCTACCTATATTAAATGATTATAATATGCCAAAATGATTATAAATGAGAACAAATTAAAAAGCATATCCAAAAAGCTTTGAAAGACTCAAAGTAGCTACAATAACCCGCTTAAATCATTGCCTACTCTAGTTAAAGTCCAAAATGATCATTTAGGAATAATATGGGCTACCATTCCCAAAAGATTGGGCTACCATTCCCAAAAGATTTAAAAGATTTGGAAGAGCTTAGTAAGTAAACAAAAGTAGACAAGTAAAAGGCAATTACGATGAAATTTGATCCGAACATCTAACCCAACTCAAGCACTTATAGGAAGGGGAGAAATCCCTTCTATGTGGAAAAGATAATCCTATGTGCAATGCATACAAAATGTAAGAACTTATGAGCAAATTACAATGAAATTTGTTCCCAATACCACAAATGAGTCATTGACCTTGATTTAGAAAATATAGACAACAACACTTGAGTCACGCAACTCCAAACAATAAAATTTCATTTTTCTGCTCATTTTATCTCAACCATATCAAATTGTATGAACTTTCAATCTCTTCTATAAACATATCACATTGCTTGCCTAAATCAAGTTTGGATGGAAACAACCACTCTCCAATTAAAAGTAACTACAAATATGACATGTATGGTAGAAAGAGAGACTATGTGGTCTGTCTTTATATCAATTTAAGAAATTGCTTACCCTCACCTCCATCAGCAACCCTAACACAAAGAAATGAACATAATCAAGATGACAATTGGCTAGTGGTATAAAAGTAGAAGTTCAATATTTGTGTCAGTCTTTGCTTATCTCCGGTTAGAGCTTAGTATTGTGGAGCTCAATACAGTAGAGTTAATGTATGTGATGCAAGCATTGCTAAAACTACCACAAAGGAGAATTCTAACAAGGTGGGCTGATTAGGATAAGTATAGGTTAGTTGATTAGAAATAATTAGTCTGAATAGCTAAAGAAATAATATACCATTAGGTTTGATTATATACTTAAACTATGCATAACTCTTAATCTTGAAGCAAACAATCTATATATATGAAAGCTGCATTTTAAGTGATGGAAAACAACCTACAACAACATATATAAGCAAAAATTTATTTAAATAATATATATACTATAACATAATGAATCTTGACCTTTCCATAATCTACAATGAAATTAAGTGATCTAGCTTCTCATTTCCCAAAGACCATCCTTCATATTTCTTGAAGACAAGAAGATTTATGCAGTTTCGGTAAAAGTTTAAAACCTGAAATGCCAATGGGAATAATATTTCTAAATGTTCAATGCACTTTCAAGAAAAGGTTTGCAACCTGCATTGCTGATAGGATAAACATTTTTAGAATAAGCACTGACAACGCCAATATGCCAAGTCTTCATGATGTTTTCATTATTTTAAACAGAGATAATTAGCTCTTACATTTTGACATAACAATGACGCCTTGAATATTGATTAGACCTTTCAAATAAAAATGTTGAAGAAAGTACACTTCACAATTTTACCACCTCGACCTCGTCCATTACCTCCATCTATAACTCCAATTCTATGAATCCTCCTTTTCCATTCATTCTTGTTGAATGTTGCTTGTAAAACCTTTCATGCAAATTTATTTGAACAAATTTAATTTTCTTTTCTTCAAATTCCACATTAATTTCATCTGCACATCTCATAACGCTTCTTATATCCTTCTTTGTATGTGAGCAAACCACCCATGTGAGTTTATCATGAGACCATGATCATATTTTAATAGGATTTAATTGCACTTTCCCTCCATATAATCCTTTTTGCATTAATCCTTTAGAATTTCAACATCATATAGCAATCTAATCTTATGCCACTTTCAACGTAGATGCAATGATCTCCTAAGCACTAAATACTCAAATTTATATAAAATCATAGACATAAACTAAATTGTATAACATATTAGCATTTAAGTCTTCATGATATAACTATCTCATCTTAAAATTGCATCATTATCTTTTATCTCTATTCGTTTATATAATAAAGCAAAGTACTCCAACAAATCAAACACATCAAGCTTGATATCACTTAATCTTCATGTAATATTGAGACAAAATTATCAATTTGAACCAACAAAAAATGCATAACATGTACAACAATAACAAGCCTTTAGCCCAATAAGTGTGATCGGGTGCATGAATCCTCCTCCATTGTGTCCTATTGAGTGTTATATTTTCTTTTAATTCTAATAAATTAAGATCATATTTTATACAATATGTCTGAGTCTTTTTAGATCTAGCTCTCCCTTTCTTAACATAAATTGAATAAAAAAAAAAGAAAAAAAGAAAAAAAAAGGGCAAATCACAGGCAGTCTAATAAGCCTAACAAATAGAGCCGAATCAAAAGAATGCGTACAATCAAAATTATAAAGCGAGTAGTGCAGCTCGAATCCCGTCGGATCGGTAAACTGCAGCAGCGGCCTCCTTCCCTCCTTAACGTACAAATTCAACGCCATCTGGACCAAGTCCATCACCGTGCTCTCCGGCGATATCATCAAATGTATAGGACCGAAGCTCCGCTCCACCGTCACGTTCATCAAAAACTTAGTAGCCATCCTCACGCTGTCTACAACCTCCGATTGATTCGACAGCATTTGGATCGAAGACGATCCCCTCCGAACGAAGCTTATGGTGGTTCCAGGATCACGCTGAGCCGGGACTGTACCCGGAAGGAATGCGAGGCAGAGACGGCCAGATCGAACTTTGGGGATCGGGATAGGGTTTCCGTCGCAGATCTGAGGCTGGTCATTCTGAAGGACGGAGAAGTGGTGGGCGAAGCTTTAAAAAGGGTGAAGGAATGGCGGAGAATCTGCAGCGGTTGGCCACCCGATCTTAACGCTGGATGCGGAATCTTTCAATTTAGAAAAGCTTTTCTTAGAACATTTACAATCTCACAAAGGAGCCATTAAATTAAATATTTTCATTTAAAGATATTTATGCATATCATGAAATTGTATATTTGAAGAGAAGATATCTAAATTATAGTAAACTTCTATCATAGCTACATGTGTTCCTTATAGGAGTCATTCAATCTTTCAATATGACCATGCAAGCATTCTTATACGTAATTTTGTTTGCATTATCTGTAGTGCACAATATTTATATGTCAGGAATGTTCCATTTATAGCATATGCCCTCTTAATCAAATGAAAGAAACGAAAGCTTCGCATTTGAAAATCAATAAAGCATTTCCCTGACGGAAAAGAATTTGCATTTCTACAGATTTTGTTTATTCGACAAAGTTGGTTCTACCAATCCTTCTACTAATATTTGCAAGCCTTGTGGAACATAAAATAACGTTAAAAAAAGGAGCATTTGCATGCATGCCACCCAATTCCTATGTATGTTCATATCTAACACCTAAACTTTACTTTTTTACATATATAACGCCCAATTCTTTTATATCACATTAGAAAATACCACCATTTTAACTTAAAAAAAGATGAAATACACCTTTTGATTCATGGTTAAGGTGACACTCATGTAAAAGTTGAAGTGAGTTTTAGATGTGTAAATACATAGGAATTAAGTGATTATGTATGTAAATCTCCTTAAAAATTCATTCATGGGAGACTACTATTTCAGCAACAGTCCTAAAGCCACATTGAGCTGCTACAACTATATATATATATAAGCAGCCACAATGGGATAAGATCTGAAAAACCAATACCCCAAGTCAATTCTTAATCTGAGAGCAAAGCCCAAATTCATTTTTGAATCTTCGGCGGCTTTTACTTTAGGAATATTCACCTCACCTGACATAACGTGCCACCTTACCTATACATGAAAAGGTATATTTCATTCTTTGTAAGTTAAAATACTAAATTCATAGGAATTAAGTGGTATGCATGTAATTTCCCCAATGGAATAACATGTGTCGTCCTTTGTGGCATGTTACAGAGAACGGGGAGCAAGAGCATTAGAGCAGAGAATGGCAGATGAGAGTTTTGATGCTGCTGCTGCTGCTGATGGGAAGAAGGAAGGTGCTGCTCATGGAGATACTTCAGAAATTGGTTAGGAAATAAGCTTTTCTTTTCACAGCTTGGGTGGGGAGATCAGAATGTGATGAATGAAAAAAATAAAACTTTTTATTTTATTTTATTTTTTTTTAACTCCCCCCATTTCTATGCCTTGTTATTCTCTTTTACTGTTTTTGTCTTGTTACATTTAGTAAATATATGATTATCATACTGCATTATAATATTATAAAGCTGGGTTTTTTTGGAGGTTTATTTCCATTTTCAGGTGCTGAATATTATTGATTTATATAGATCTTTTGATGTCATTTTTGTTTTTTTTTAATTTATTTAAAATATAAAATATTTAAGATGGTAAATTAAAATAATGTTAATAAAACATAATGTTGTTTTGAATGTATTTAAAAATATGTTAATTAAAAAAAATAGAACAATTTCAACAAATGTTTTTTTAGAAATAATGTTAAAAATAAAAATAGTTAAAATTATTAGCAAATAAGTAATTAAAAAAAATCTTTTTAGTATTTGAGTATTGGCCAATTATAAGTCAAAATGATTTGTAATATTAAGGATTTCCGATGTTCGTGGGTTTGCTGCATGATTTTTAAAATTATATTTAATATATTTTTAGAAATTGAATGTGTTTTTTTTTTATTATTATTATTATTTATTTTTGGTTAAGTTCAGCCTTAATAGTAATTCGATAAAAAAATTAATGGTTAGTATTTAGAATATGATTTGTAGTTCGAGTCACCTAGTTGAAGAAACTCATCCCCAAGTCTTGTAGGCGCTTATCATGTCCATAAATATGTAATTTATTGATTTCAAGTACAAATTTTATATTATTTAATTAAAATAGCAAAATAAAAAAGTAACCTTTCATATTATAATTATAATACCTTAATATCATAAATCCATACATAAAAGCATATGTTCACTTTTTAAAAATAAATAATAGTAATCTTTTTAATGTGATATTAAAAAATTGAATGTTATAAATTCTATATAATAAAATGTGATATTATAACATCCCCACCAATATAACCACTATTTTGAACAATAAACTCAAAATATATAAAATGTTCACTCATTTAACGACTTGATCAATTATTACAACACCACAACTAGATCTACTATTATTAAAATTAGGGTTGTCAAAGCTGCTCGTTATTTGTGAAAAGCTCGTGTTCGGCTTGTTGGGAAGCTCGTGTTCAGCTCGTTCGCTAAGTTAACGAGCCGAACACAAACATCACAAACAAATATTTTTTCGTTCGTGTTCGGCTCGTTTTGGCTTGAAATACTATTAATCAATTACATAATAATACACACACACACACACACACACACACACACACACACATACACACACGCTCGTTTCGATCCTTTACGTCTTCGTCTTCGGCTCTGGCTGGTGGAGGATTTTGCTTCGTCGATCGTTTGCGTCGTCTGCTGCGTTATTGAATCATCGAGGCGTCGTCTGCTGCGTTTTCGCTTCGTCGTCTGCATCGTCAAGCCTTCGCTCTGCAGGTTCTTAGTCGATCGACAGCTCCGCCACATTCACAGCTTGACTGCTCGCACACGGGTTGCGCCAATTTACTGTAGTGCTTGTGTGAAGCACCTTAATGGCCTCAGGGTCTTCTTACGTTGTCGTCGTTGCCGGTGATAATCCCGCCAAATCCTCCCATGCTATAGTGGTCCACAAACGCAGCTCCCCTTTCCACCTCGCATATAGTCTGACATTCCCGCAGATATACCATGATTCTGTTGCTGGAAACGACGATTGGAATCTCATAAAAAAAATAAAGAAAAAGGCGGACAAACAAATAATATTCTTCTCTAACACTGAAATTTCAACTTGTGCAGGAAAATACAAATTTACACTAGTTGGAAAGTTCCAATTAGGTTGCCCTAAGATGGAGATCATTAGGAAGGTTTTTGAAGATTTCAAACTGTCTGGGGATTGGCAGGTGGGTCATTTCGACGGAAGGCATGTTATGATGCAGCTGAGCATAGAAAAAGATTAACAGCTGAGCATAGAAAGGATTTTCTCAAGGATTTTCTCAAAGAAATTTATCACAATCGAGGGCAAACATATGAAATTGCTCAAATGGACCCTAATTTTGATCCTAGTAAAGAACCGCAAATTACACATATCAGGTTCTCATTAGCTGAACTCAAGCTTCAATTCCTTGACTTACATATCTTATATGCAATTGGGACTATTTTTGGAAAACCTTAGCATGTAGACTTACCTACAGTTCATTTCTCAAGACCCTCTATTGCAAGGATTTTGATTGAAATAGATATTAGACTATCAGATGTAGAAAAAGTCTGGTTTGGATCTGCTCAAAATGGTTATTAGCAAAAAATTATTAAGAAACAAAAATCTTACTACTGCAAGCACTGCAAGATGTTTGGACACCAACATGTGAAATGTTTCAAATTGCACCCACAGTTGAGAACGAATAGTCAAAAGCAGGAACACACTATTAGTGCACCCCATGTTCCTGAACGCGCTCTCAGCAAACCTGATGACAGCCAGCCTGAGAAGGGAATCACCACAAGCCAGGAGTTGGTGTCTGCCCCTGGGATCCCTCTCCTGACCATACTGCAACGGATAATGTTTGAACCGAAAATCAGGATAGTCCCGTAGCTCCTATTCTGGAAGCATTAGGTGCAGAGGTAACAATTCACACTTTACATACACTGCAATCTATCGCGGTGGCAACGACTGTCTTTCCTTCTATTGCGGTTCTAACATCAAATTAGACTGAGGATCACATGAGTCAGTCTTTAGATGAAGTATGATAGGTTTACACTTCTCGGCGGAAGAAGACGGCTGGGGGCGCACACTAACTTGGAAACTTAATGGATGATACTTTAGTCACTCTTAGCAATGGCGCGACTCTTCAAAGTTTGTTATCTGGCTCCGCTCTTAAATTTAGAGGAACAGGCGGGACTAAAATAGCTCTTTCCTAGCTACTTGTTTTCTGCATGTTTTAAATTTATTTTACTTTTTATTGAGTCTATCTATATTTTTGTTGGGGTATTATTGTACTTGTATCGTATGGGCAGGGTGCCTCTTTTGGGCTCTCTCATACAACATCTATGTATCTTTTCTATTTCAATAAAATACATATGTATACATATATACATATGTATATATAAATATATGTAGATCTATACATATATACATTCATATAGGTACATATGAATACATATATACATATATGTAGATCTATACATATATACATATACATATACATATGTACATATACACATGCATACATACATATATATATATATATATATATATATATATATAAAGAAAAAGCCCGAGAGAAAATATATAAATTGATTAAGAAAATATAATAAAAAATATTAAATTAGGGTCAAATGATGTCTTAAATCTTGTCTCAATCCTTAACATCTTATGATTACGTGATTAAGGTTGTCAAAACGACTCTTTGTTCGTGAACTTCACTTGTTCGACTCGCTAAGCAAACGAGTCGAGCTCGAACACGCTTTTTGAGCTTGAAATATAAACGAGTCGAATACGAGCTGAGCCTGGGCTCGCTTGTGGTTTACACCCCTAATTAAAATTACATTCCATGCATTCAAATTTATACCTACTTGAACAAAAGTCTTTAGACCCTAAATTTGACCTACATAATTCAATTTTTCTTGAACTTTCTCTCCTCTTATCCAAAAGAAGGATATCATCAACGAAAAGTATACACTAAGATACATCCTTCCCTAAATATCCAATAAAAGCATCCTTCTATTAAAGTCAATCCCTATTGTAATCCAACTTTAATAAAAATAAAAAAAAAAACTTTGTCAATCCACTTTGCT